ATGGGTTCGGCAAAGAGACCGTTTTTCTTTGGGAAACTCTACCCCTTTTTGTATACTAAACAATTGAATTTCAGATATGCCGTTCAGATGTCAGACGATGTTGGTTAAAAACGTCAGTACGAACGAATTTGCAATGTGTAGGGTATATTCGCTTGTTCTCGCAATACATTAACCTTTACGGGAGTATTTATTCCCCAGTTTCTTTTGTAATTCAGAAAATATTATGTTAACCTGTTCACGTGGCGGAACCCATAAAGTAACATAATTTGGCAACTTTTTCGTTGCAAAATCGTTTGCAACCTTCGTACTTGAACAATCAATAATGGGCACTGCCACTAATTAAGATGTGTATCGGGAGTGTGGCAATGCGTGATATGGGCAAAGGAAAACAAACTTATTTAGTATTTAAACTTAAATTTGCTACGTTATAATAGTCGACCGGTCTAAATATGTAGGATAGAAGAAGAAGAATCCCCTCGTTTATCTGTTCGTACTTAAAGTTCTGCATTTAGTTCTTTCTTTGTCAAACATTGCGATTTGTTGCTGCCCCACCCGTCATTAGTTTTACCAATTGTGCCATTGAAATTTGTTTGAACATCTCGACGTGTTCGAAAGGGCAACCTAATAAATCGTCTTGGTCTGGGCAAAGGACAACAGTCGATAGATAGATATAAATAGAAAAGCCATGGGAAAACGATTAACTTTTGTTCCACCTCTTCTCATCGTCCAATACATCCAATAACAATGCATCATTTTTATTAACGATAATTGTCCATTGTGGCCGAGTTGTTTGTTGCTCTCGCTGCTGCGCCTTTGTAATTCTCTGCCAATCATCACCATGAGTGCCTTCAGTTGCAGCATTTGGACCAACATCGAATTGTCCATCAAAGCAAACCCTAACTAGTCCATCAGTTGGCACAAGCAATCATTCCAGACAAAATAAATTTACTCATCGTGGTCATGATTTGTATGGGTCGCTGTTGAAAGGTGCTTCAAATCGGTTTAAATAGATTTGGCTTTTATTTTATGACTGTTAAGTATCCTCGCAGTTCTGCTCTGGCCGTCGCCATCCGTAGTCTTAGTTTTTTATTTTGTTTTTAAATCGTCTTTGTTCGTCGCGATATGTTTCGGTTCTAAATGTTGTTGTTTCTTGTATTTTGAACACATAACCAGCAACTTCCCTAATAGGTCTTTTAATATAAACATATATTTTTATTTAGTTTGGCATTGATTTGTTGATGTTTGATGAGATTATGCATGTTGAAAAATAAGGCGGAAAAAGAGATTATTTTGTGAAAAGATACATATTTTTTTATTTGTAGAATTTCATTTTAGTTATTTCTCAAAATACTTTATAATGCAATAAAATCATATGAATTTGTGGAATTTCTCTACAAATGTTTTCTATGCACAGATTTTTAACTAGAATCTGTTAAAGAACAGCAAAAATTGTTGGGAAACCCTTGACCATAATTTTAAGCATTTTATCAAAATATGACAAGTGTATGTGTCAAACAATATTTAAAAAAAAAATAAAGGGTGCTCCAACAAGAATGCAATTTTTAAATTTTAAATAAAACACGGATTATAATATCGTGCATCGTTATTATATTGTAAAATTGACAGAATGAGATTATGTATGCAGTTAGATATCATGCAGATGGCCGCCACGGCTTAGAGGGCGGGAACACACGCTACCTTTTAATTAAATTTTCAGTGAACGTTTTGCATAAATTCTGGGGTTGTTTTTTTATTAATGCAGCGTCCAATTTGCTCTTTTGAGACTTATTTCCATCTACTTTAAAAAATCGCAAAGAAAAAAAATGAAAGGTATTAAATCCCAGATCTAGGCGGCCAATTCTGGTCTTCAGAACGCGAAATAATACGATCGGGAAATAACTAATGCAGCTATTGAATTGTTTTGCTGGCTGTATGGCAACTGGTTATCAATTCACGATACCGAACACAATTGACTGTTTGCGCTTGTCTTGCCTCATTTTCATAAAAAAGATCCAAAGACACCTCCAGCCCAAAAACCACACCACACAGTGACACGAAGTTCTGCTTATTGATGAAGCCATCAAGATGGAAAAGGGCACCGACACTAAAGATGATTCCATCGGCAAAATCAGCATTTTCATGTTGTCTCTCCAATATCCAATAAACGAACTCATTCAATCGTCTAGCGCTCCATTTTTACATTTTAAATTTACTGTTATAATTTTTTTAAATATTTATAACAAACATCTTACGGCGGAAGGCGTATAAAGTATGGACAAGAGACATCTTTTAAAAATTCGAATGTCTTTTGTATATTCGGTCTTTTTTTTTAATTTCGATATTCGGTCATACATTATATCCATAGCCTATGTATTCGGTAGAGCGCCTATTAGACAGAAAAAAAAACGAAAGTGTTGCCAAGTCATATGCCGAGAATGTATTATTTGATGTGGCAGCACTTGGTTTCTGTCCACGTTTATGTTAGAATAAGCTTATTCACAATTTATAGATGGCGCTAACAATGTTGTACCAAAACTACGCAATATTCGTACACATCAAATTAAGTTTTTGGAAATTAAAATCTTTGTTTCTTTCATTAATTTAAATGTTTTGTTATGAGTTTGATATGAATCATCTTTTTAATTTCTAAACTATCTTCTTTTCTGCCTGGTATGTATTTCCACCACTATAAATAATTGCAATTGTTGGGGATTATATCAAGGTACATAAAAACTTAATTTGAAATTTTAATTATATAATTTAATATAATCACATACAAACAAAAGAAATAGTACATAGACATTTATATAAAATTAGCTAAGAAGATAAACTTTAATATTTTATTCAGTTTTTAGTTAAACAAAGCATAGGGACTTGACTCCAAACTTCATCCAAATACTCTCCCTGACATACGTTTTAATTGTGATTTTGATTTCGAATTAATGTTTTGTTGCAAAATCGCGATGCTTAATCCCATTGTTTTTAGAAAAACAACGTTTATTTATTAGTGAGGGAAGATATTAGGCGGGAATAACTTAATATCCGAAAAGACTACCAGTGATTTCCAGTCAGTTCCCAAATATTTTGTCTCGAAATATTTCCCCAATGTATTATTTAAAAATAATTCCTAAGGAAACAACTTTCTTGGACCCAAGTGACAATCCGAAGCTCAATACCTGAGGAACCAAAGAATTAAAGATAACCAAAATTCCTTTGCCTTTTCTTCTAAATTCTACGATGCATTTACAACCGTTTTTTTTTTTTTTTAATTAACTATATTGCTGATTTCTCAATTACTCCCTCATACTGGAAACGGGTCAGGGTTCTCAGAATGCGGAATCTTCTCCAAAAAAGTTTAATACAATTTCACTAATTCGGATATCTTCCAAATAAGTGGTACATTCAAATCTGAAATATTTTGTAAATAAAGGTTTTTTGTTTTTCCGATTCTCGAATTTATTTTTTGATCTCCTAATATTTGTAATTTTATATATTTTATATACAATTTTATATTAATTCTCCTATCAGAAAATGCCATAAATTTTACGATAATTACAGTCTAAATCGACCTACTCCTTTCGGTTTATCCACAGAAGAGGCTCAACAATTTGAATAACCAAAACGATCATTGAATACGAAATAGGTATCCGATTCTTTTCAAATTTCCCACATCTCGATATTTTTCAACACAAGATCTGGTCTGAAGTGGAAAGATATCGTTCGAAACAAGTCATCGATTCTTTTCAAACTTGGTATATATAAATCGAAAGAAACAACCACAGATCTGATGTAAACATATTTATGTTTATACCCTTCACAATAGTATGGAGGGTATATTAAATTTGTCATTCCGTTTGTAACACCTCGCAATATACATTTTAGGCCACACAAATTGTATATATTCTTGATCACCATAAAATTCAATTTCGATTTAGCGATAACCGCCCGTCTATAGAAATAACTCTAGCTTCCGAACGAAATGAAGTAGGTTGATAACATTTTACTCAAATGTGTATTATATCTGCAGGACTTTTGGTATTGTAGGCCCACGTTTTGGTATGGCCCCCATATAATGGTATCTCCATAGTTTCGGTATTTTGGTGATTAAAGCGATTTTGGTGATTAGGTCAATTATATTTGGCGTCCCATGCACATTTTAACATTTTCCAAAAATGATCACATAGTCCAATCCTTGTAATGGACAATATTTGCCCATCCCTTCTGCAACCCCTCATAAAAACCAATATTCGGAATAATCATAATTCATGTCAACATATATTTGAATAAGCTGACATATGCTGAAGGTATACATCTGGCGGCAAAACCGACTGATACTTTTTACCTTGTTGTTTTATAGCTTTGGATCATATTTTACTATTTTTAATCACTTGACGAGTTAAAAAAAATTCAAATTGATGGTTTTTTGACCCGAACTTGTCCAGAAGAAAAATTTTGCTTGATATAAATTAGATTTTTTTTTGTCATAGTTGTAGTATCAAATATGCGTAAAAATACAGATCGGTCTTTGAAAATTACATGTACAAATTTTTTCGGATAAATTTTTTGTTTTTATTTCGTGAGAATCCTCCTAATTTATTCAAGATTTGTCATAACTCAAAAAACGTACTTCTGAGCTATTTATGCAGAATTGTATTCCATGTTCTACCTCATTTTGTGGCCTAATTTATGTTTATATCAAAAAAAAACTCTTATAAAATTCAAGATATGTTTTTTTTTTGGGGTTATATATTCTGAAATATTTTATAAACTACCATCGTTTTAATTCAATATGGAATTTTTCATCGAAATATTAAAAGGGGGTTTCTGCAAATCTAGATTTTTATGAGTTGCGACACCCATTGATGAAATTAGCGATATATTCATCATTTATTTCCAACCTTTATTTCTCTTCCCATGTCTTGAACAGTTTCGATTTAGCTTAGAGTATTTCCCATCCCCATATCATTTGGGGCGTTTGTTAATAAATACACATTATTCCATTCATTATAATAGTGCAAGTTTTTATTTGATTACTTGAAATTTATTTTAAGGTTTTTTATATTTACTTTCTTTTTTGTTTTGTTTGCTTTTTTATATTTGTTCATCTTTTTTTGCATTTCAATATTTTGCATAATACATTTTTAACTAAATAATTTATAATAATAATAATTATATTTATTTTTGTTGTTGGCGTCATCGTGTATTACAACACATTTTCAGTTTTCGGTTTGTTTTTCTCTTTTGTTTTTGCTACTCACTAACATTTAATACTAATTCAAAATACAGTTAAAATACATCTACTTATTCGATAAAAAAATACAAAAAAAAAACAAATGTGTGCTTGCTTTTACAGAACAATCGCATTGAAGTTGTGTATCTTCGATTTATAATTAAAATGTCATAATTATAAAAATAATAAAATAAAATAATATACAAACATTATACAGAAGTAAAGAAGACGAACTGAACTAATCGTAATCGTATTTTTAATATGTGCAACGCCGCTGTTACAAACAAAATAATTAAATTATTTTGTGCTTACATCTATTTCTTTTCATAATCTACGTATGCATGTGTGTGTGTGTAAAACTTAGGCAATTTAATAAATAATTTATAATTATATTTAAAAAAAAATACTACATTTTCAAAAGTTAGTGTAAGAATTTTGTACAGTTTTTGTTTTGTTTTTAAGTCTTTGAAAATTAGTGCGTTTTTCAGAAGAAGTTTCATTCTTACGTTTAACTATCTTTTTTTGTTGTTTTTTTTTCTCTTTTCGTATAATTTACAGTGTTGCCCTAACAAGCACTTTGATTTTTCAGAAAGATTTTCATAAGAAACCCATATCCAGTGCTGTGTATAAAGCTCTAATATCACTTTGCGATGATATCCGCCAGAACGGAAAATTCATTGCCTTGGCAGCGGACTCCTCCTCGGCACCATCGCCCACAACAACATAGGTACTTTTGCGTCCGAAACGCGTCACAATGCGCTCATAACAAGTTTCCTGACCTGAAACGGGTGAAAAGGATTTCATTAATATCTATTCCCAAAATTTGTGTTCAATTCAAAACCTACCTATTTTATGGGCACTGTAAATGTTTTCGATATTGAAAATGCCTCCCAGACCGAAGAGGAGAACTTTCGCCAGCGCTGGTGCCAGTTGTGTGGAGGTTACCAGGACATTGATACAGTTCTCACGTTGAGCTATCATATTCAGACATTTGGTAGCCAATGAAGCCCAATTGTCGGTAGCCATTTCTATGTCCTGGCGAATTTGTAGCCAAGCATCTCTCTTGGCAGGACCCAATAGACCGCCAACACTGAAAGCAAAAACAGAAACACAAATAATTAATTTCTCTGTTGGAAAAACCAAACAATAAATTCTTCTTTTCTTTCTGATACTTACTTTCCCCTGTAGGTGTTGTATATCTCCTTGATCTTCCTGTATCTAAAAGCCAACTTGCGCATCCAATCTACACCGCCTCTCACACCTGTGGGCAAACACATATTTGGAGGAGCGCCGGGTGGAGCTCCAGTGTGAAAACCGTCTGTAGCAAAGTTATATGTACTCAGATCCTGACCGTTGTCATCCGATGAAACATCATCGATGTGGACCTGGTCGCACTCCTCGATTTCGTTGAAAAAGAAATGGGTGTCGGCCAAGTTGAAGACCATCTCCTCCATGCGAAAAGCTATCGTCATTAGGGCGCTGTGATCTTTGGTATATCGGCTGGCAAAGGAACCCGACAGCAGTGTGTGGAAAATGATAATGGTCTCGTCTAGGTCCCAAATGAAAACTCTCTCCGGTGGCTTGACAGCTTCACTGTTTGGCGTATCGGAGGTACAGCTGCGCGTTGGACTAGGTTGCTGGTGGCGACGTCCTCTAGACCGTCCCGTCTTGCCAGTGGGTGTAGTTTTTGGTAATGACGTCGCCGCATTGCTTGAGGTGCTGTTGCCGGCTGATGCCATATTATTGTTGGGCGAAATGGGTAGCGGAGAGTGCGGCGAATGGGTGTTGTGCAAGACCGGAGTGGTGGAGTGGGTATCGGTTGGACTTTCCGATAAATTGGAGGCCGCCACATGGAACCCATGACTGGCACTGGAACTGGGCGAACTAACTGCATAGGGTGAATAGTTTGCAGGATTGTAGTAGTTGCCATACTGATCGTTGTAATACGACGAGTAATCCTGCTGGGCTGCGGCCGTTCCGAATTGGGCAAAGTTATTGTAGCCATAGGCTGTAGGATAAAGCTGAGCCGAGTTGTTATTGCTGGAGGCATATGTCGATGTCAGGTAGGGCGATGAAGGTTCGATTTTCGGAGCTGTCCTCGCCGCTGTCGTATAGGGTGTACCGTAGGTGGAATAGAATGGCGGTGTATACTGTTGCATACTATTGTAATAATTGTAGTAATCATGCTTGGTGTCATAGGCAACAGCTGCGGCGGCGGCTGCTGCAGTCGAATTCACGGCTGCCATCGAAGAGGAGCTCAGTGTGTTGCTGGGCGAATCGAGACCAACCAATCCCGCTGAGGAGTTCACCGCAGCAGAACAACTATATAAATTCGATACCGAGTTGGGATGATTTCCGTTATTACCATTCGATTCCAAGTGACCGCTAAGACCAGATACTTCGGTGGAGTTCGAGGATGATTGCAAATGCTGCTGTGGCGTCGTTTGATTTGGATTCGTTATGCCGGGCGAGCGACTCTCTGACTTGACCGAAGCCAGTTGTGTTGCAGACTGATGTTCAGCATTTAGCCAGTGTGACATGCCACTGCTACTACTGCTCAGCGCATTCACTGGTGCCGAGGTGGAATTGGACGAGGAGAGCGTGGTGGAATTGTCATTTGTTGTTGTGGATGCAGCAGATACGGATGCATTTACTGCATGCTGTTGATATGTTGAGAAACTACTGCTGCCTGCCGTGTGGGCAAATTGAGACGCTGAGGCGTTGGAAAGAGATGGCAGATTATTAGCGGTCAGGCTACAGCTACTCGCACTCAGGGATGAAGCTGATGATGATTGTGGCTGTTGATGGTGCGGCTGCTGTTGTTGTTGATGCTGCTGATGATGGTGTGGTGAATGCGATGTGTGAGCGTGATGATAATTTGAGAGTGAGGCCAACGAGGTTATGGTAGGTTGCAGCGGTTGGGTTTGTGGTGGCAATGAGAGAGGACTACATTGGCCGGTTGAAGCAAGCAAAGAGGAGCCACTAGATATTAACGGAGAGCCGGCTTGAGAGCTCCCCAATGGACCTTGCAAATGTTGCAAATGAGCGGCAGAGGCGGACTGCTGCGTCGTAAGCGAGGTTTGAGCCGTCGTACAGAGTCTGAAAAAAAGAAAGAAAGAAATTGATTATTGGTTCTATTCAAAAAAAAAAAAAAACAAGGATTTATTTTATGGACATTGAAATGCCATAAATCGTCAATTGGCATTTCAGATGTTTACGACAAAATAATGATTTTTATGAGTGCCTCTCTCTTTTTTTGGAAAAAATATAAAAGAAACAAATTAAAAATAAATACATTTCACGTTCGCCCGGCCAACATATGAATTCAAAAGTCAAGTGGTTGGATAGAAACGCACGCACACTGCCGCTCACTGTGGCATATACCACAAGAGGAGGCAAGGGACACTTTTAATGACTGCTAAGCTGTTTGCGCATGTGCTCACTCGAAATCGATTTTTGTATTGATCTCGTCAAGTGTTCTTTTTTCCCGTTTGGTCGACAATTTGTAATGTGTTTGGTTTTTAACGACCTCTTTGAAATGGTTTGAAAAAAGAAGAAAAAATAATTACAAAGTGTTTGCGACAATTTCAAAAAACGAAAAGTAGTTTCCGTAGAATCCAAAACATGTGGTAAACAAATGTTTGCTAGTCAAATGGGGAAAAATCCTTTATTTTTTGGATTGTTAATAAATGTCATATAAAACCCATTTTTGATTACAACTTTGTTAAATAGTTGTAAAAATATTTTATTTTAAAATCAATTTTTTGCAATCGTTCTAAGATTATTTAAAGTGACAAAACTTGTATTTAGGATTAAGTCTCAAATGTCACAGCTGCAGGACCCACTGTTTACTTGCAAATGTCATATTCGTCATTTTCCTTCGCAGTGAAAAACACATGCCTGTATTTCTGGGAATGTGAAGGACATGTGGCAGACAACGAGGTGACAAACTATAGTTGTCCATTTCAGTTATTTTAGGTTTTCGAAATATGTGTCAAAGGAAAGTGCAATCGCTAAGAGTTTTAACACTCGCATATCCCCTTTCCCAATTCATTATTTTTCTGTTATTACTTTTTTTTCGAGGCATTAGAAGATGTCCCACATTCCATAATTCATAATGAGGATAAACGATGCGTCCCTACTTAAGGGATTAAGGAGCAGAGCATACAACGCCCACAGGAAAATGTTTTCAAGATTTTTTTTGTTTTGAATTAATGACAAATTGTTGTATCTGACGGTGTTCGTCTTTCCTGTGTCTGTACCTCTGTAATTTGGCTTCCACATTTGGTGGAAAGGGAATATTCTTTGAATATACTTTTACATTTATGTTTGTCCTTTCAATGATACATGTCCCGAAATCACACGCCCTTGTTGTGAGACTTGTCTTAAAATATGACACCTTTTGTTATCCTTTGGTTCTATGGCTGATTGGTTATGTAAAAAATTGCCCTATCAGCCGGCAGTTGCGGGAAAATTGGGGACAATACATAGATGAAATATTCTATTGCAATATTGGTCCATAATATGATTTTTTTTTTTCGAAAATTAAAGTGCAATTCTCATCTTAAATAAGAGAATAATATTCATATGATGTTGACTTACCGATTTCTATCATTTGTGTCTGTGGGCTCTGTTTTGGGACGTTTAACCTGGAATGAGAAAAAAAACGGAAAAAAACTTGGTCAGTTCTAAGTTCCACTGGCTTCGTATAACCTACAGAGAAGAACAAAATAAAAACAAACAGAAACATTTCAAAGAATGCAGTATGGCTGTGACATTAAATACCAGGAGTATTTTTGCGTGTCTGCCAACATGACGTTTCATGCAGGCGCGCTCCTTCGTTTAGCGTGCGTGCGTGTGGACTGGCCACATTTTACGCAAGGAGCGCACTGCCCAGCAAGCCAGCGAGAATAAAGGGTATTTAGAGAAATTTAAACATATTTCAGTGACACATTTCAATACTCTATAAATTATTTTGCATGACCATGCAAACGAATACGTGAAGCGTGCATTTTGACGTTTCATGTTGTGTGTTGTTAGGTTCTTGCTGTAGTCAGTCGAGAATGGCAAGACGACAGCAGAACACCGAAATAATTTAGCAAATAATGATTTGTTGGGTTTGAAATATCAACAATACATATCAAGACTTCAAAACGGCTTTATAATGGAATCACACTTATTTTAGAAGCAACTCGCTATGGTAGACTGTGTGACCGATCGAGGTACATAACCATAAGCCATGCAAATTTAACCATTTTATGTTGCTAAATATAAATATTGTGGGTGAGATTTTTTTAATTAAACCGGGTTTAATGAGGCCTAAACACAACCAGGAATGACTTAATAAGCATAAATAAACACACACACACTCAGACATATGCTTACGACGTTGTTGCAGTTCTTTAGGCCACAACTGGCTACATTCCCATGCAAGCTTGCGTTTTCAGCCGGCCATGAGGCGCTAGGCTAGAAGAGAACAAAAATGTCAACAAAACATTCGAGTCAGCATTCCGGGAACAGTCAGCCGTTAAAAAGGTGTCGCCTTCATTAGCATTGCCAAACATAAATGCGATTATGTTTGTAAACACTTTTTACATACCCAAACGAAATTTTGCAGAATTTTCAAAAAAGCAAAACATTTTGATGGGAAAACCATTATAAACTACAAATTTTTTGCTTATGAGAACAAAAAAAACAAATAATTTTCTCGAGCACATGAATATTAAACTCTCTATGCCTGGTTGACACGGCTGGCTGACTTAGCTGGCTGGCTGTTGTTATCTCAACAACAATTAAAATTAATAATAAAAAAAGTAACACCAAAAATTATTCAGTTGAAATGCGCAATGAAGCTGAACAGCCGAATCGAGCCGACGTTCGGCTATGTGTTCTGCTGATGATGAAGATCACGATCTGTTAAGTGGCCAGTGTTTATGATGTTGGCCAGTATGTGGTAGACACCGGAATCCCCCAGACTGCCAACGAGTGTGGACCCACAACAACAGTTAACCGTTTGTCCCCTCTGCGTGTGTGTGTTTTTTGTCTTCTTCATCTTTCTTTTTTTTCTTGGAGTTGAAACAAACAGCCAGCCAGCAACAAAACTGTCAACTAATTTATGGCACAAGTCGCCAAACAAAACATTAAAATATATAAAGGAGAACAACAACAGCAACTAAAACAAGGAAAACCTGCAATCTACTGCTACGGCTACGGCTACGGGCATGGAACAAGCGAACGACCATACCAGCAACAACAACAACAACAACCACAAGAAACACCAGCATCATTATGGTCATCAGAATGATCACCAACGAGTCTTCTCAGATACGAACGAAAAGATACATGGACGACTGAATTTGAATACCTGTTTAACCCTTAAAGAGCCTCCAAAAAGCCATGCAAGCCTTTCTTTGCTGGGACACATTCGGTTTTACAGCCTCACACAGACTTGGTTGACAGATCTTTATCTTACATTTCTTGGTGTTCTATGCCTCATGCCTGTGCCCCTCGCCCTCGCCCTTGCCCCCCAACCACTCACTACTTATTACACCTTTTCTTTGTCATCTTCTTAGTCTTCTTCTGTTATTTAGTGTACAGATTTTCATTGGAGATAAATTATTAAACAATAATTTGATTTGTTATTGTTCATCATTAAAAAGGGAGAGAGAGAGAGAGGGCGAGTGAGTGTGTGTTTGTTTGTTGTTCTTATACTCCTCATTAATTATCATTAACAAGTTATTGATTTTTATTATTTTGTTGTCATTATACAAATGCTTTCTTTGGGTCGGAGGTAGGGTTTGGAGGAGGTGGGGTAGCAGCGGAATATGAGTGAATACTACGTCCCCGGTTTCACAATTTGTTTTCCATTAAAATGACTTATGAAGTGCCAAAAATTAAGAACCTTCAAGATTTCTTGCTTACGCCTGCTGCTGCCGCCTGCGATCGCAATCTTAAGCAGATTTGAAGTCTGAGGGTTTCGCATTTGCATTTCTGGGCTATCAGTGCAAACAGATCACGGCCATTCATTAAAGCAAATGATTAATTTGCTTTTGTTTTGGTGAAAATTTGTCAACACGCGGCAGTGTTGCGGGTCGTTGGCGGCGGGTATCCGGGTCTAGGGCCGTTAATTTGTAAAATTGCGATTCAGAACAAACTGTCTGTTTGTTTTTGTGTTGTTGTGTGGAACAGTTGTGCCCCCAGACTACCACCACAACGCTGTCAACAGATCGCTGGCAGAAAGAAAATCTGAAGACTAATGAAATACCTTGCGATATCTTTCATCACACTCAAAATAATTGGATTGCCGATGGCAAATAAAGGAAAGCTTTGAATATTTGTTGATGCTAAGCCAAGTCACAATGATACCGAGCAGGAAAAGTAATGACAAATGCTCACTTGGGTGATATGGAATTTTGCAATTTCAAGAAATATTTTTATTCAAGAAGTGCTTAGTACACTTTTAATTTTTTATGGCAATAACTAAGCACATATTAAAAGTAATAAGTGTATATGTGTTCAAAATATACCAGAATTGCAAAAAAATCATCTCTGTATTGGGGGCAAGCGATAAAACATGAACCTTTTCATATAAAGTTAGCAAGAGAAAAAAAATAAACCCCAGGAATGTGTGATTTAATAAGCGTTGTGGGCGTATTGAAAACTTTTTGCTCAGAGCGTATTTATTTACTTTCTTTTTCTTTTTTTTTTTTTTTTTTTGAAGTGTTGCATTCCTATCCAAATACGAATGAAGCAGCTTCGATATAGCTGAACCTCTAAAGTCTCATTTAGGATCAACAATGGGTTCGAGCACACCAGTCCATAAGAGAGAATAATAAGCAAAATTGGACAGACGGCATAGCTCCCATTATTGAGCAAGGCTAATTTCGGACTATCGTTGTTCAGAATCACTGACATCTGAAAGGCAGATATTTAATGGACCGACGGTAGTAAAAGTTGACTCAATTCGTCTCTAACTTTCTCATATAATTCAATTGGAATTGAAAAATCTGTCTTTCAGGATCGATTTTTGACAGCAAAATGTATACTCTTCTAATCTTCAACAGACCTTAATATGTCGAAATTGTTTGTCAACATTAAATGTGTTTATCTTGTTGAATTCACATAACATGTCTAGGACATCGAGACCCTGGATTGCAAAATGTAGTCTTTCCTGCCAATTGGAATGTCTTTTTAATGTTTATCTATCTTTGCAGGAATAAACCCAAATAAACTATATTTCTATAATAATATGCCCATACCCTAACGGGCAAAGGAAGACACATCAACCAGGCGACTATCATGGGAGTGTGTATAATAGCTCCTTCCGTTAGATTGAACATTTTATTTTATTTATTTTTGATTTTGGTACTCTGCAATTGAGCTGGTATTTAAATTCCGAGACTAATTAGTACTAATTAGATATTAAAACGACATAAAACTCGTATTGTTATTCAGATTTTTATGAGTTTTAAATAATATGGAATTTTGAATAGTATTGAAAACTGGTTATGATAAATAATTTTTTTTAGCGTCGTTTGATTTACAACTTTATTTGGTTGATGGAAAATACCTTATGGAATAGATCTTCGTCAATTCACTGACTGGCCTTTAAATTAATAGATTATATTGAAATTTAGAAGATTATATGGGTATTGCTTAGTTGCATGGACGAGTCCGAGAAATAATAAAACCTGCATTTATAAGTAATCCATGGCGGATAACTTCGATAGATAATCATGAACATCCGATTATTTTCAATGTACTTCGAATGTGAGACGGGTCACCTATTTCAATAACACTAACATACCATATTACATATTTAATAACATTTTAATAAATATGTAAAATGACATATGGTAAATATATGTTCATACAAAGATCTGATATTGACATTGATATTCTTCTCAAAGCTCCGTTTTAGTTCCCCTCCGATTTTTCGTTTTTGTTATGACCTACATTTTATTATTCTATGGTTTCATGGTGGGTTTTAATTTAGTTAGTAATGAATTTGTTGAATATTTAGTATACCTTCGGTTCAATCATTTTATCTATTAATCCACATCTGGGAGCTGAGTAGCTATATGGCATTATGGTCACCATATTTTCTTAAAGCACGCAATTATTTTTTCTTAAGCAATGACTGATTTGATTTTTGAATCGTTTCTCTCCCCTTGTCTTGGAGGAGCAATAGTTGTTGGATTTTTTTACTTTTTTGTTTTATTAAAAATTCAATGAGACTTACAATTCACGATAATTGCTTGAAAATAACTAAGAACTGATTTTTATATTGCCGTCGGTGTTTTAACATTTAGAATGGCTCTTTAATTTCCACTTTGCATTTCGTGTTTTTTTCAATTTTTAAATTTCAATTTAAATAATTAATAATATTACTCTTGTTTTGTAAAAGTTTTCTCGTTTTGTTGTTTAATTGTTGTTTTTTTATTTCAATAATTTGTCTTCCCGATGCGCTTGGCGTTTGGTGCGGTTAGAGACTCTCGAGAAAACTGACTTCCTGCAATCAACTCAAACATCCTAAGTCAGACCAACACAACGCCAACCTAACACCAAGAAAACGTTGTATTCCACTCACTCATTGCTCGCTCGCTCACTCACACACCACCATTCGCATTGCTGTGGTTGGCCTCGGAAA